CTGCCCTCCCTGCCTGCAGTATACAAATTAGCCGCCATCTTTGTTGGCGGTTAATTTGCATATCATGCTGATCAGCCAATGGCAATGGTAGTGAAAGTACGGTTAATTACCATGTTTGTCTGTTATTAGATAGAATAGTGACTCCTTTTTCCCTAGTAATGAATTTTGCCTTAAAGACAATTTTTTTTAATCCTCACCCAAGGATATTTTTCTTATGTAGGGGCTAGGGGAAGGGAAGTGTGTGTGTGTGTGTGGGGGGGGGGGAATGGGTGATTTCTGTAATACTATCAACAATAAAAAAATATTTTTTAAAAAGATACTCATCACATTTCTAATCATATGTTTAATGTCTCTTTCCCATTATTCAAGCTTCAAGAAGGTAGAAATGCAATCTTATTTCTTTATGTGTTCCTAGCACCAAGGACAGTGCCTCACACATAATAATTATTTGTTGAAATAGAATGAATGAATAAGGACAACTTTCTTTTTCTGGGTAACTCTAATTCACCTATCAAGGACCAAGGCCAGATGTTATATCTTCCAGGTTGGGTTACAGTCAAATTTGATACAATTTTGGATCCCTAGGGCCTAGTGCGGAACTTTGGTACATGATTCATGTATCAGAGATATTTGCCAAATAATAAACTCTTGGCCAGGAGTTGATAATTGTTGAAACTGAGTGGTGGGTATATGAGTAGGGTTCATTACACTGTTCTTTCTCCTTTCATCTATATTTTTAAATTTTCCAAAATAAAAAGTGAAAACATTTATAGTATTCACCTGAAGTCAAGCGAAAGTGTAGTCTTGAGGTTTCTGGCTGAAGCAAACCAGTAGGTGGTGGTGCGGTTCACTGGGGTGGATGGAGTGGAGCTGCATCCAGACTCGAATGCGCCTGTGCATGGGCTGGCTTGGAGAGGGTTCCTTTTCACCCCAGTGAAAGTTCTTCGAAGGTCAACCACGGGGATGAAAGAATAAATTTTGATTTCAACACCTTTAGTTTTCATTACTTGAGGGCATCTCCAGTGAGCTGTGCAATAGTTAGCAGCTACAAGAAATCAAAACCTCTGCCTTAAACTATGAGCTGTGAGAGGGTTTCTGGCTGGTAACCTTCCCCCTCCTGGTCCTCGATGGCCTCCGGGACACGGATCTGACTGACCACCCGGAACTGTCCTGCAGTGAATACTGTGCCCCACCAGTGCTGCCTCCACACTTCTCACCCACACCCTCCCCTTCTTCTTTACCGCCGTTTTAGTTCTACTGGGAGCGATTTATTGACATCGGCCAGGCTTCGGTGGGTGTCACGGCTTTATGGTCAGCGGCAGGTAGGGTGTCAAGAAAATTCTGGTTCCCGTTTGACTTCCCCACCTTCTGACCGCAAGTCGCTTGACCGTTCCGAACCTCAAATGCTGCCTCGGAAAAACAAGGGTAACAACCGCGGCGACTTCACGGGGCTGGCGCGAGGATGAACGCGCTCAAAGGGTTCAACACAGAGCCTGCCACCCTGAGCGGTCGATGGACAGGAGCTATTATTATCGCCGGCGCCGTGCCCTCCTAGCTCCGCCCC